TTTTTCTTTCTTTTTTTTTTGATTCCACATATGAGTGATATCATATGGTATTTTCCTTTCTTTTTCTGGCTTACTTCACTTAGAATGATGATCTCTAGGTCCATCCATGTTGTTGCAAATGGCATTATTTTATTCTTTTTTATGGCTGAGTAGTATTCCATTGTATAAATATACCACAGCTTCTTTATCCAGTCATCTGTTGATGGGCATTTAGGTTGCTTCCATGTCTTGGCTATTGTAAATATTGCTGGTATGAACACTGGGGTGCATGTATCTTTGTAAATTAGCATTCCCTCTGGATATATGCCCAGGAGTGGGATTATTTTGATGTTTTAAATTTACTTCCACCCATAGATCTCCAGCCCAGAATGTGTCAGAAGTAAATCAAAGGAAGCTCTTTAGTCTATAGTTTACATAAAGCTGATGGAGGACCAATCCCTCCCAAGTGATCCTTCTTGTGTCTACCTCCTTGACTCCAACAAAGGGCCAGAGCATTCAACTCTGTTCTTATTGTGATTAAAAAAAATCAGCCATCTATTATTATTTATGATAATGATAGTATGAGAGGGAAAGGACCTTCAAGAGGTAGGTGTCAATATTGACCCAATAACTATTATCTTCAAGGGTTCAAGACTATTCATTTCAGTTCTATGAGAACAACACTGAGATAATCCTTTCAATAGACTATTATTTGAGGTAGAGGTAGGAATCCAAGTGGAAGAGTAAGTGGCAGAAATAGAAAAATCTAAGAGACGCTTCAATGAAAAATCATTTATAGCATTTATCATTGTGGCTATTCTGACCAGTGTGAGGTGATACCTCATTGCAGTTTCAATTTGCATTTCTCTGATAATTGGCAATATTGAGCATTTTTTCATGTACCTATTGGCTGTTTGTATGTCTTCATTAGAGAACTGTTTGTTTAGGCCTTCTGCCCATTTTTTGATTGGGCTGTTTGGTTTTTTGTTGTTGTTGTTATTGAGTTGTATGAGCTGTTTGTGTATCCTGGAAATTAAGCTCTAGTTGGTTGCATTGTTTACAAATATTTTCTCCCATTCCATACATTGTCTTTTTGTTTTGTTTATAGTTTCCTTTGCCCTCCTACACTGTTGGTGGGAGTGTAGTTTGGTGCAGCCATTATGGAAAGCAGTATGGAGATTCCTTACAAAATTAAAAATAGAGTTACCATATGACCCAGCAATCCCACTCCTGGGCATATATCCAGAAGGAACCCTACTTCAAAAAGACACCTACCCCTCAATGTTCACAGCAGCACTATTTACAATAGCCAAGACATGGAAACAGCCTAAATGTCCATCAACAGATGACTGGATGAAAATGATGTGGTATATTTATACAATGAAATACTACTCAGCCATAAAAAAGAATAAAATAATGCCATTTGCAGCAACATGGATGGACCTAGGGATTATCATACAAAGTGAAGTGAGCCAGAAAGAGAAAAAAAACCATATGATATCACTCATATGCGGGATCTAAAAAAAAAAGACACAAATGAACTTATTTACAAAACAGAAACAGACTCACAGATGCAGAAAACAAGCTTATGGTTACTGGGGCAGGGAGAGGGTGGGAAGGGATAAAATGGGAGTTCGGGATTTGCGGACACTAACTACTATATATTAAATAGATAAACAGCAAAGTCCTACTCTATAGCATAGGGAACTATATTCAATATCTTACAGTAACCTATGATGAAAAGGAATAGGAAAAGGAATATATATATATGTGTGTGTATCACTGAATCTCTATGCTGTACACCAGAAACTAACACAACATTTTAAGTTGACTCTACTTCAATTAAAAAAAATATTGTCAAATTTCCCTCCCCCTAAAACCCCAAGCATTTACAACGTGGCTACATATGTAAGGATTTGACTGCTGCTGTGGTTGCTCTGCTGGAAATAGCGGGCGTGGAACATCGGTGGAAAAGGAACCTGGACAGGAGGCTGTAGTGAATATTAAGAATTTGATCTTTATCCTTAAAGCAAAGGGGGTCTACACCCTGAAGTTTATTTTACCACCAAGATGGCCCTGATGGGACTGGCATTTTAGAGAGAATGCTCTGGCATTCAGGGAGCATAACCTTTGCAGAATTTAGTTTTAGAAATTGACTGAAAATATTAGGCGAGTTGTCAGCAAAGACTGGGGTGGAGTAGAGGGTGTGGGTGGTTTGAGGAGTGAAGAGAAGGCATCAGGTTGTCTAGAAGAGTCAGGGAGAACACAGGCTAGGATTGCCCGGCAGGATAGAAGGCCCAGGTGGGGTCAGTGACCATGACTGTTGGTCTGAGACCAGTCAGCCTGCTTGTACGTTCTTCTTAAGCCAAGTTCAGCTGCAGAGAAACCAGAGAGCTGGATTTAACCTGGAGAAGGGGTTTTGCAAGGTGGGTAACTTGTTTCCATTGTCAGGGCCTGTCACTCCTTCACCAACCTCCCCCTGACCCTCTGCCACAGACCAGCTCAACGGCACGCTCCATGGGGGCAGGGAACTTGATCTGTTTTGACCACTGATGCATTTCAAGTGCCTAAAACAGTGCCTGGCACATAGTGGATGATGAATAATTGTTTATTAACTGAATAGGTGAATAAATGAATAAATATTGAATGAGTAAGATGAAATCAGAGGACAAGAGAGTTGAGCGTCTGTGTCAGGGAGTGTTGTAATGGCAGACCACGAAGCTGAGCTGAATGAGGATGGATATGAAGTCCTGAGGGCAGGGAGTTTTTCTTGTTAATTCCTGCAGCCTCACACAGAGTAGGTACTCAGTAACCATTTGTTGAATAAAAAAATAATACTGGCAACACAGTAAAATAGAAAGATGAAAACTACTGTGGCATTTTGCTTTTTACTTAGTCTAGCTATCTCTCACAGCAATTCACAAAACAGCCAAAACAGGTATCCTTTAAAAAAGCATTTACAGCTGAAAGAACCATCGGACAAGAACCCATGGTCCCCAAAGCGTATCTGTCTGCTGTCGATGATAGCTCTGATAATTTAACGAGTTCTCAATGCTTACTACCAGTCGGAAGTCACTTAGAATGCTGCTTCTCAAACTTTCATGCGTACAGGAATTACCTGGGGGCCTTGTTGGATATTGATTCTGAGAAGGTATGTCTGGAATGGGGCCCGAGATCCTGCCTTTCTAACGAGCTCACAGGTAATGCTGATGCTGCTGGTCCAGGGACCACACTTTGAGTAGCAAGGATGTGTCTCTGAAGGGACAGGATTTGGTTAAAATACAATGGAAGTCATTCCATCAGCACCACTCAGTGTTCCGGTACCAAACCTTCAAATCTACTGGAAGTCTCCCACCTTTCCTTCTTTGCCTCATTTAAAGGGAACAGCCCTCCTTCTGAGCCCAGTTTTGGATTAAAGACACGGCCACCTGTTCGGGAACCTTGCTCAGTTCTCCCCACCCTGTACCCAGCCCGTCCACACCTGCCAGCCAATTTCCACCACCACTTAATGGGACACAAACTCTTCTATTTAAAAAAATACAGTGAACAAAACTTTCCATTTAGTCTGTATCCCCCCCCACCCTCCACAATTAATGTCACACTTCTCTCCACTTTTTCATGGGCAGACTTCTCAAATGTATTGTATGTCTACACCTGCTGCCTCTATCTTGTTTCTTTCCATTTCCCCCTTGACTAAATCCAGCCAGGCTTCCCTGTTCACTCTCCTACCAAAGGGCTTGTGCCAAGGCCGCAAATAATCCTGAGTCACTGGGTTTTTGGACATTTGCCAGGGCTTGGCCTTTCAGAATTATTCCACACGGTTGACCAATGGCTCCTACTAAAAATGCCCTTTTCCCATTGGTTCGTTTTCTCCAATAACTCTGGCTGTTTCTTCTCATTCTCCTTTCCGAGTAGAAGGTCCTCTATCCAGTTCTTGAAGAGGAAGCTGCTTCAGAACAGTCCTAGACTCTCTTCCATCCTCAAAACTGCATCTGGAAGATGAGCTCTGGCATTCTTAGATGTCTCAAAGGCTCTTTAAACTATTATTTCCGAGAAGAAAGTCATCCTTTCCCTCCAAATAGGTTCCATCTACTACATTCTCTTTGGTAGTAACAAGCCACTCCTCCTGATCAGGTTCCTCAAATGGCAAGTTTAGGGTCATCGTTCACCTCTTCCTCATCACCCCGCACCCCCATCTCCACCCTGATCGATCACCATGTCCTGTTACTACACGTCCATAGTTTCTCTCCCCCTGCTGCCTTGTGGTCCAAGCCATCGTCACCTCTCACCTGGACCCCTTAATGGCCTTCCTGTATCCACTCTTGTTTCCCTCCAGTCCCTCCCCTGCACAGTGTAGCCAAAGTGATCTTCTCGTCTGATTGTGTGACTCCCCTGCACAAAATTCACCAGCTTTCCATTTCCTCAGGATACAGCCCCACGTCCTCCTCTGGCTTCCAGTGCCTTTCGGCCACCTGGCCCCTGCCTGTCTCTGTGACCTCTTCATGCAAAACCAGTCCTCACCCTCTCCAAGGGCCTCGAACACACCACACTCACCCTCCTGCCCTAGGTCTTCAGAGTTGCTGCTCCAACTACCCAAGTGGTTGCTCCCCGCAGTAACTCATCCTTTGCATCGTGGCTTTAATATCACTTACTCAAGAAGTCCTTGCTGGGACCTTCAGCCAGCCTCGGTGCTCCCGCAGTGCCTTCAGTTTCCATGTCACAGAGCAGCAACTCCTCGCTGGGCTACAAGTGCCCTAAGTACTAAAAGCCAGCGTGTATCCGTAGGAATTCCGTATCAGGCACTAGTGCTGTAGAGAGCGTCTAAGATGCACCCACATGATCGCTGTCTCCTGGGATTCATAGCCTTACGCGATCTCCTAACTTCCGGTAACCTGTGCTAAGCAATAGGATACCTCAAAGCTGAGGGGATGTGACTGAAACCCAGGGTAGCCATCAGATTCATTAAACTATAACTGTGAGCTACCGACAGTGGCCAAGCTTGATCTGAATGTTCTTAACAAAAACTCGCATAGCCTCCAAGCATCACGTAGCCTAAACGTAAGATTTTTGCCCAAGTTGTTTTTCAGGAGCTTGGAGTCAGCTGTGTCCAGTTGGAGCTCAAGCTGGTTAAGACCGGTTGGGTCCACCAACCCTCCAACTGGGCATGTGTGAGTGCCCTTTCAGTGACCTTTTGGGGTCAGAGGGCACAAAACTCCACCCTCTGATCATGCTAACACCACCATTATCTGAACACGCACTCCGTAGAGAAGCAGGTAGCTTAGTTGCACCTGTGCAGAATGAGGATTACCTCACCGTTTTCGTGTTTCCAATCACCTCTGCCCGCGATCCTCACACCTCAGCTTTATCCCATTAATACCCTGGGCCCTTGCCTTCAGGGGGCGGATCTGAGATTTGTTCTCCTGTCCCTCACTTGGCTGCCTTGTGAATAGACTCTTTCTCTGCAAGACTCACCGTCTTGGTGTTTGGCTTACTGTGTGTCGGGGAAACGGAGCTGGCTAGGTAACACGATTTCTGTGATTAGATTACAAAAGACTGACTTCTGTCTTTATAGCAGACTTTCTCCCTTTACTGGTTTTGATGGAGCCCAGTGCAGAGTTTGCGATCCCTTCATGGTCTGTTTTCAGCGGTTTGCGATCTGCAGGGTGATCACCCTCTGTGGCACAAAAGTTTCAATAAAGTCTGCTCTATATCCATGCCCTGGGTGGGTGTTTTGAGTGGAAATCAGTGAAAAGCTAGCCACGTCAGCCCCCAGCGGAGATGACAGGAGAGCTGTGAGCACGGGCTGTGATGGGGAGTCCAGCGGAGGGTCCCCTGGAGTCAGAAGGCAAGTCCCTGAATTGCAGGTCAGGGCACCGAAGGAACTTCCCCGAGGCTGTGACTCACAGCGGTCAAGCCAATTTTATTTAACTAGCCAAAAGGCTTGGAGACCTCAGCCGACCTCTGGGTCACGCCAGTGTTAATCCACTTGTCTTCCCTGAGTAGGACGGGCTCGGGGTGGGGGGGGGTACAGGGAGCAGCAGTGCTGTTTCTATCTTTATTGGGGGAGTAGGAATCTGCCGGCTGGTGACTGCAAACAAATGGGACTGGAAGAGCCAGCAGAGGCCACAA